TATTACCACATCGATTTCTCATAACATAAGTTGATTACACGGAGCCCTCAAAGGTATCTTTACAAAATCCATGTCCGTACGTGGAAACAACCATTTTCTAGTCTATATTTTGAAAACTACCCCAAAATATTAGACCTGGCAAACGTGTCGTGTCGTGTTGGGTTTGTGTCGTGTCAAGACATTAAACGTGTTGAAAGAGTTTGACCCTAACCCGACTTGTTTAATTATCGTGTTGTGCCGTGTCAACCCGTTTATTTTCGTGTTGGTTTCGTGTCGGGTTTCGGGTTAACGTTTAGACCTTGTAAATATGTTGTGTCATGTCGGGTTGAAATATTTTAAAGGCTAGAAAGTAGGAGTTGCGGAGGCAAAAAGGAAAAAGTGAAACACTGGAGTTATGAGATGGAATGAAGAAATTTATAGTAAGTTTAGAAAGAAAAATGAAAAGAGTTAAAGTTGGAGAGCAAAAAGGATAGGTGGTGAGGATGACTAAAATTAAGTAACTTTGAAATATTGAATATTACTTCTAATTATTGAGTTTGGCTCACTACAAGTCTATAACATATAATATATTTATAAAAATATAAAATTTATAATAAATAATATATAATTAAACGGGTCATATTCGAGTTGAAAGTCTTGACCCTAACCCTACCCGTTTAATTATCGTGTCGTGTCGTGTCAACCCGTTTACATAAACGTGTCGAAATCTTTAACCCTAACCCGCTAATTTCGTGTCGGGTTCGTGTCGGGTTTTCGTGTCGTGTCGTGTTTTGTCATGTCTACAAAATATGTCTATTTATGTCTGTTCCTTTTGACCAAGGAAACGAAACTATGACATTGTGACGTTTTTTGCAAAAAAAAAAATATATATATATATATATATATATATATATATATATATATATATATTTAAATATTAAAAAATTAAAGACTCGGTATAAAAAATGATAACCTATGGACCATTTTTGTAATTTTGCTTAAATATACAGAGTTTTCAACTCAAAAACCAAATGGCATTGGTGAATTGTACATACCTTTTCACGGGTTGTTCCGTTGTTCAACGTTTTTGTACCTACGTATCACCAAATCGAAGAAGCTAGTCATGCAAATTTAATGAACAGACCGACAATAACGGTTTCAAGAGTGGAGAATCGAGATACGCCATTGAAATTTAGACCCTGATTATCTCCTCAAGAGAGATTCCGCAGAAGAACTTCGGTTTTTGTTTCTTCATTTTTTCAGAAGAACCCAAACGAAGATTTTCCCTTCCAGGCTGTGACAAATCAGAGCACACATCAACCTCGTATGTAAAACTTTGATCGATCTCCCATTTTTGTTTCTTATCGTTTTCCTTTCAACCTGCTGTGAATTGTTATCAATCGTTTTCAAAGTTGTTGCATGTGTAAATGTGAATGTTCTTCCCACATGCATAAACTTTAGGGTTTCTGTTTTTTGTCCTTGATTACTTAACCATATGATGATTGAAACTTGAGTAATTTTACACAGAATGCTTGACCTTGCTTGTGTTTTTACGTTTATTCCTGCAGGTGATGGGTAGGGATGCTGGCGAGGACGATGAAGGACAGGTAAACATATTTCTTAAGCAGTTCTTAAAACCATACTATCTTTGACGTTGCATCTTTGATATCTTCACAATTTATCATATCCCAAATTTAATTAACTTCTTCTGATATATTGATTCATTTTCATTCTTGATTTGTATATTATATATCAGGCCAGAGCTCGAGCAATGGGATTAACAGTTGGAACAGCTCCCTCATTTAGAAGCGCTGAACGTGCTGCCAAACGTAGGGAGGTAATTCTTAGTTATAATACCATAAAAAAGATTATTATACAGAGTTCATAATTAAATTTTATACTTGTATCTGGTTTTCTTTTTTCTTAGTACTACATGAAATTGGAGCAAAAGCAGCAAGCTTTGGAGGCAGAAAAGATAGAATCTGAAATGAGAGCCAAGGTAATTAACCTTGTTTTTTTTTATGTGATATCACATTTTTAAGAAAAATAAATATAAAAAACAAATGTAGGAGGAAGAAGAAGCTGCTCTAAAGGAATTCCGAAGGAGCTTATTTGTTAAAGCACATCCTGTTCCAAGTTTTTATCGTGAAGGACCTCCACCTAAGGTCGAACCTAAAAAGGTAATTTTGTAAAATAAAAACAATATATAGTATTATAAAAAGATGTTTTTAAGTGTGTTTTTGTTTTACAATTGCAGATGCCTGTGACACGTGCCAAATCACCAAAGTTAACACGTGGAAGGAGTTGCAATTATGAGTCAACCCATTCGTCCATAGAAGAGAAAGGCTCGTGTTCACGGACAGCATCTCTTAGGGGGCGTAGTGTTACACCGAGCTCTGGTAGGAACAAGTGATGGCATGTGAAACTACATGTCTACATCCTGTAAGTTGACAATGGAGAGCAAAAAAAAAAAGTTCTGAATTTTGTAAAGTTTATAAGGTATGTATTAGGGTGTATTATTTGTATAAAGTTATTGTTTTGATATTTATGACAAAATCTGATAAAATTAGGATTGACATGGTCGTGGTAGAAGTAGAATACAACCATGTTGCTTGTAATCTATGAATCCTTCTTTGTACATGGATAATAGTAATACATATACATACATGCTAGGTATGTCAGGTTCGGGTTAGATTGGCCTACACGTTATTCTTGATCCATTATTTTCGAATTTAGTTGTAACACCCATTTTGAAAATTTTTTGATATTAGCTAAAAATAACAAACTTTGACATTAAGGTATTCGTTACACAAGAAAGCGGCAGAAAGCAATGAAACGACACAACAATTTAACATGGTTCGGTCGATATGATATTTGTTCACAGAGGAACTCTTCTATTATCGGACTGTTTCAAAGTAATTACAATGGAATCATAACTATTAATATTCATAGTCGTAAAACCCTAGCAACTATAGGGATGAGTAAATCCTGAATAATTAAATTAAGCCTACTCCAAACACTTATATCCTGTTGGTTTATGGTGTTGGAGTTTCTTCGTTTTCTTTCGGGTTATGTTATCCATTTGGTTCACCAAATTCCAAGTCACACGTTAACGATATATCTATAATGAAATTAAGTTTGATTTTAAGTTCACAAAAATAGTTTAATTTCATAGTCGGATGTCACATCCAAATAAAGACCCATAGGAAGTATAACCATAATTTACAAATTAAATACAAGTGGGTGACTAGTTGGGCTGTTATTTCTCTACAAAATCTAATCTCTCCTAAATAGGTTTAAATGACTACATAAAAGATCATCTTCATCGTATATAACAATCAACTTATGCGTAACAATATATGAGACAACTGTGGCATGGTATACGTAAGTGTTGGGGTTGATGATTAGAAAACAATTTCACAATCACAACAATAAAAACAAAAACTAAAGTTTAGTAATTTTAATGTTCAAAAATCATGGATCTAATTATAGAGATGTCAACGGGGTCGGGGAATATCGGGGACCCCAATTCTCATCCCCATCCTCGACTCTTCATTCCAATCATCATCCCCATCTATATCCTTATTGGAGAATATAACTGAATCTTCATCCTCACCCCAACAAGGAATCGACGATTTTTTTTTATTTTAATATAAGATTTTTAAGTAAAAAAAAACACTAAATTTTAATTTTATTAACATAAGTTTAAAGATTTTACAAAAACATACAAATATTCATAGTTGCATAAAAACTATTAATAAATTTTCTACCAAATGTAAATTAATATATGAAAAATCAAGTATAAAAAATTATTAATAATGATATTTTAGGAAATAATAGATAAACCAAAGAGTAAAAAAATCATACACGATGTTAAATTTGATAAACGAAGAAGGAAAATATAATCCAAAACAAGTAATCTAATGAGTTGGGTTACTTAGATAAAATTTTAGGTATTATAAATTTACTATAAATATATGTTTTATATTATTTTTATATATTAATATCTACCGAGGTCAGGTCCAGGATTGGGGACTAGGGGTATCTCCATCCCCATCCTCATCCCTGCTTTTTTATTTGGAGACGTCCCCATCTTTGATCAACTTGGTGATTCTCGGGTTAAACCGGATGCAGATTTCGGGTTCCGTACAAGGTATGAGGTTTTTTTTTTCATCCCTATCAAATTAGAACAAACTAGATCAACGATTACACAATGGTATGTTATTATATACTATATACATTTCCTACCAGTTGGTTGTTATTCACAAGATAGTTTTTTTTTTTTTTTTAACCTTTGCGAATCTACTAACCTAAGCCTCATTAGCTGGCTTTTGTTTTGTTAGAAGCATAAATAAATCCAAATTACAATTATACCATTATGTTCTTGGGAAAATGTCATTGTCCAACTATCTTACATATTTTGGTTTAAATGGTCCTCTTTGTTTTTTAATTTTTTTTTTTTTGCTTTCTAGGGGCATAAATTAATATTTTACTTGTTTTAAGGCCGTTATTAAGAAAGTGAAGGGGCCACCCAGTGAACCCCTTCCTAATCAGCAGGTTATATGTTACATGTCATTAAAACGATGCCATATCATCTGCCAACTCGGATGTCACCTAATGTATCGATAATAGACATGCGTAACCCTTCCTTTTAAACCTGACAATTCGTGTCTGTGTGTCATGTATTCGTGTCAGACATGAATTTACACGACACAAATTTGTTAAACACGAACACGACACAAATTATAAAACGTGTTTGGGGTATCAAACACGAACACGACACGTAAAAAGTTCGTGTGACACATGACACGACACGAATAGACACATTTTTAAACCGTGTTACACAAAAACACGAATAGACACGTTTTTAATGCCTTTTTTTTAAGCTAGGGCTATAAACTAATTATTGACTTTTACGAAATTGGTCCCTAATATTTTATAAATATAAAATTTAACCCAAAAGTATATGTGTATATATGTGTCACGTGTCAACACAAATTTGTATCGTGTCTTATACGTGTTTAAACAGGTAAATTCGTGTTTGACACGTGTAAGACACGAAACACTAATTTAAAATATGTGTCAGACACGAATAAACACGAAACACGAATTTCTAAAACACATATACGGAAAACTCATATTGTGTATCAAATTGTCAGGTCTACGTCCTTTAGAAGATAAAGGACATATTCTTTTGTTTTGCTTTCTTTTGCCCCTTTCTTTGCCCCTTTCTTCTACTTTCTTCTACTGTTTCTCGCAAAAATCGCTCTAGTGGATTCTTGCTATGGGCATTTACATGAAGATCGATCTTCATTTTGTTGGTATTTTTACAAGGTACCCAGTGATCAGTTACTCAGATGGAGCGGATCAGAGGTTTGAGGATGTCAATTTTGTTGGAATGGACAAGAACGAATTTGTGGTGTTCGTTGAAAGTGTAACATCCCAAAAATCACAAGGTAAAATTTTCATTTTTAATTCAACATATAAACACCATTTGTCCTTATCAACTGTAACATCCCGAATCGAGGTATAATTATATTTCCTTAACCTTTCTCTATTATGTCAAAATTAGTCCTTATTTGTAAAAGGTGGCAAGTGAGTACGCGGGGCGTACACATGAGTATGCGCAGCGTACTCATGAACTAAGCAAGATCGCGAATGCTACCTAGTACATTGGGCGTACTAGGCTCAGTATGCAAACCCTAATATTTCTTCTATTTAAGGAATATGATGGCCTCATTTATAGCCACTATTATCATCCTCCAACCTTTCCTAAACCCTAAATCTCGAGTGTGTGCTTGTGGGTGTGATTTTGCAAGCTTAAAGAGATTCTTGACCCTTGTAGTGAAGGAGTGAATTTACAAGAAGAAGAAGTTGTCATCCAGCTTAGAGATCCAGAAACCATCCATCTTTGTGCATCATTTCCAGGTATAAAGCTTGTACCTTGGCTAGTATTCTCTTAGATCACCTTTGGTGCAAGATTTATGTAACGCCCATAGATCAGGGCTGGTCAATTAAGAGACAATAAGTGTCGAAAATGACTTTTTGATAGAAGATTATTTAGATGGAATAGTCTTAATAAAAGTTGTAGTACATGTTACAAGGATTCCGGATATATAAAGAATGCCGAAATCCGAGTTATAACGAAGAAGTTATGACCTGTCGAAGTTTCGCGACAGAACCAGCACGACACTACGCGACGTAAATAGTGAATTTACGATAGAGCGATATTTGACCTTAGCGATCTAAACGAAAGTCGTAGAATACGTTAAACCGAGAGCGTGCATAAAAATAACGTCTAAATCTGACTTCGTATGAGGAAGTTATGATTTTTCGAAGTTTCGACTTAGCAGTATGCAATCCAAAGTTCGAATATGAGATCGAGTGGTTTCCAGCCGAAACAATCTAAACGAGAATCGAATATCTCGTCGATAGTAGTCCAACGGTAAAAAGACAGACGAAAACGGACGTCAGATGAAGAAGTTATGAATTTCTAACGGAGTTTTCCTGTCCCGGCCTACTAAAAATAATATAATAAAAATAAAGTCGAAATTAGCCGACGGAGTCTAAACGATAGTTGTAGAGCATAATCTCACCTACGCGTGGATATAAATAACGTCGAAAACGGAGCTCGTATGCGAAAGATATGAATTTC